ATTCTTCAAATGCACCAATTCTTCTTTTTTATCCCTTATTAGTTGTTCAGCATTAATGTTTATGTACGGCAAATGAAAATACCATGGTTTAGGTCAAGTGTACCATAGACCTCAAAGTGACATCTTTGCTTTTTAACACTTTAAAGAAATGCTTTGTAGCATTATTTGTCCAAGGAAATATGTCCTTTGATTTCTTGATTGCTGTTTCCATTAGTGTTGATTGTGGATCCAAGTAAAATGAAATGCTTGACAACTGCAATATTTTCTGCATTTATTATGATGTTGCATATTGGTCCAGTTTGATGACTTTTGTTTATGTTGAGGTATAATCCATATTAAAGGCTGTAGTCTTTGACTTTGATCAGTAAGTGCTTCAAGTCTTTTTCACTTTCTGAAAGCCAGGTTGTGTCATCTTCATTTCATCAGTCTTCCTCCATTCCTGATTCCATATTCTTCTTCATGTTGTCCAGCTCCTCAGCATAGAGATTTAATAAATATGGTGAAAAGATACAACCTGGTGCGTACTGTTCCTGCTTTTAAACAGTGCAGTATCCCCTTGTTTTGTTTCAATGAGTGCCTCTTGATCTATGTATAGATTATTCTGAATGAACACATGAAATGTTCTGGAATTCCCATTCTTCACATTGTTATACATAATTAAACACCGTTTTATGCCTTTGCATAGTCAATAAAACAAAGGTAAACATCTTTATAGCATTCTCTGCTTTCAGTAAAGATCCATTTGCCATGAGCCATGATATCCCTTTTTCCACATCCTCTTCTGAATCTGGCTTGAATTTCCAGCAGTTCCCCAATGATGCACAACTTAATCATTTTTAAATTATCTTCAGAACAATTTTACTTACGAGTGATATTGATGATATTGTTTGATACTTTCTACATTCCTTTGGATCACCTTTTCTTGGCATGGACACAAATATGGATCTCTTTTAGGTGGTTGGCCAGATTCCTTGGTATAGATGCGTGAGCACTTCCTGTATTGCATCTGTTTGTTAAAACATCTCAACTGGTGTTCTGTCAGTTTCTGGAGAATATTTTTTTTTTTTTTTTTTTTAACGAAAGCCTTCAATGCAGCGTGTACTTCTTCCTTCAATACCATATGCTATCCCTTGAAAGAGAGGAATGTTAACTAATTCTTTTTGGTACAGTGACTCTGTGTATTTCTCCTATCTTCCCTTTTTCCTTACTACATTGTTCAACATTTTGCCCACAGAATCCTTTAATATTATAAATCAAGACTTGCATTTTATCCTGAGTTCCTTCAGCTTGAGAAATGCTGAGCATGCTCTTCCCTCTTGGTTTTATAACTCCAGGTTTGTGCTGCATTTCATTATAATACTTGCTTTGTCTTTTTTTAAAAAAAGTTTTTGTTGTGAATTACATGATAGTTTACATGGGAGAACATTAGCTTTACATTCATCCTATCATATATAATTTCATTGCAATGATTACAATTTCCTCCATGCATCATCAAAAAACCAAAGGGTACACCCCGCAAGCCTGCCCCCTGACCACCAGAACACAGCCCCTCTCACTCCCTGAGTCCAGAGTCCCCAGCTGCTCCATCTTTCCACATCATCATCTCTGTCTCCATCTCTGATGTCACTACTTCTCTGGGTAGGGTCCCGCACTCCACTCCTCTCCCTGCTGGGGACAGCATATGCAGACCCTGGGTTGATCAGTGGCAGCCCCATTAAACCACCTCTGAATATCATCAGTTTAACCCAGATGCTCTCCTTCCTCCTGAAAGTATATAGGAATATTAAGAACAATGTAGCATTTTAGGTATAGACAAATGAAGCCCGGTGCCTGAGATCTTGCTCACAAACAAAAGTTTGCAAAGTGTACAGAGACAGCCTGGCTCCTTTCAGGAACCTTGCTTTATGTTATGTATCCTTAAGAAACTGTACGTTGTTGCTCTAGATCATTTAAGCCTAAATGTTAATATATAACAGCTTGATTGAACCTTTTTTTTCTGTAAAAATAAAAATGTTAGATTGTTAAGAAAAACTATGAAAATATCTTAAAAGTTGTTCCTGTGAATCATTATGTCCTGTTTTGAATGGTTAATCACATTTCAGTTCCGTATCCTGCCTTAATCACATCCTCCCTTTGTGACATCCTCCCTGAGTGAATTACATCCTTCCTTTGTAACAAATCCCTCCCTAAAAAAGAGAATAAAAGGCTGAGGTAGAGTGAAATCTGCAGGCAATGCTGTGCAATGCTAGGCAAAATGTTTGCAGATCTGTCTACCTGCCAGCTTGCATCATATCTGTGTGTCTGTCTTTTTTGTATATATTTCGTCTCTCTCTTTCTCAATCACTTTCGCCGCCAGATCTCCCTTCTTTGTGACACCCACACTTCCTTGTCGAGGCGGGACCCCGACATAGGACCTCGACATCTCCCTTGATGGTCCCAGGGCTGACTTTGAGCTGTGCTTTGAAATCTTCTTCTTTGTTTTTCTTTTCTTAAATTCTATTTGTAAATCCAGCAAAATAATTTCTGTAAAATAAAATTGCAAAGTTTTTAAATAAGGCAGGCTAGATCTATTTGCAGGGGTATTTGGTTTTTAAACAAGTTTCAAAAAATTACACACAGTCAAGATACCAGTTCTCTTTTAAATACACTATTAACAGAATCTCTTAGAATCTTTAATCAAATGTTTATTCTGAAATTATGATACTTCACTTATAGTGACTAAGCAGTAGTTTCTTTTTTAAATTAAACTCTGCTTTGTACATTAAAATTTTTTGGAATAATGTTAGAGGTGCTAGGACAATTCTTGCTTTCAAGTAAAATTGTGACTGAGCAGAAAATCAGCTGCCATCTTGGTACAGTGGGATTCTGAGGACTTCCACATCCCTGGAGATCCAGCAGAAGGAACGTTTTAGAAGATGCACCTAATAAGCTCTACCAAAGAAACAAAACGAAAACACACCAAATACAGTATTTTACTCTGCTCCAAGCATCCTGGTATAATGGATTTTTGCATATTTGCTTTAAATCTTTGAAAATTCCCATTACTGAAACCGGAATGGTTACATTACTTAGGAACTTATGTATAACTGAAAACCACCCCCTTTCATGTTTCTTCCATTATTTTATATTTTATAGTCTAAGTGTAAGAAGGAAAAACTCTGAGCAATACAGCTGCCACTTTGGGATAACTGCTGTCATTCTATTAATTATTTTCTCACTAGCTATATTAACTTGGTGTGAAACCATGCTATATTTTACCACATAACTATAGCTTCAAAGTGATTAACCTAATAGTATTCAGAATAATAGGAATCCTAATGTAGCACTGGTAGCGTAGTGGTTATGAATTGGGCTGCTAATCTCACGATCAGCAGTTCGAAACTACCAGCTGTTCCATGGGAGAAAGATGAGGCATTCTTCTCTCGTTAAAGATTTACAGCCTTGGAAACCCTATGCAGGGTCGCTATGAGTTGGAACCAACTCCATGGCACATAACAATGTGGCATTGCAAGATAATGTGTTGGATCGCAAAGTCAGTTTGAATTGCAAGATTGGCAGTTCAACCCCACCAGCCACTCCTCAGAAACCCTGTACAGAGGTGGTATGGGTCGGAACTGACTTGATGGCTCTTCAACAACAACAACATCAGAATAAAAGGGCAATGGAAAAGATCTAGAAACAATGTGACATACAAATTTTCCACATCAACCAAATAATTAAAAGATTACAGGTCTTACAGGCTCATAACAGCATTGACTCATTATGGTGTAGTTGACATGGGCCTTTGAAATCTTATGTTTAGCTCTTTTAGTTAATCATTTCTTCCATTTGCTTTAGTTGTTGTTGTTGTTGTTGTCAGGTGCCATCGAGTCAGAACCGACTCATAGCGACCCTATGCACAGCAGAACGAAACAATGTTCGATTCTGGGCCAACCTCACTACCGCTGCCACACCTGAGTCCATCAATG